GGTCCCCGCTCCCCCAGCTTCATTTCTAACACTGAACTTGCTGGGACCATAGGAGACTGACTAAATACCTATTGACACAGGCCGGTAGCACATCCCCCAGGCCGCCCCTGGGGAAGGGGAGTGACACAGACCGGTAGCACATCCCCAGGCCGCCCCTGGGAAAGGGGAGTCTCAAGCTGTGGACCACCTGGTGCGTGAGTGTAGGAAATCCTCCCCTCTCTGTCCCCTTCCCACGAGTTCTGCTGAGCCTGGCTGTGGGGCTTTCGGCCTCTGGCCTGGTTCACCCTCTTAAATTAACGTGTTAACGTACACTGACAGATGCACGTGTCTATGGTGAAACGTGAACCGTTAGGTTGGAAACTTTTCATTTACAAGTGTGGGGTGTCCCAGAGGACTCACACGTGTGAAGGTGCTGTCTGCCAGAACCCTTCCAGTCAGGGTGCGGCAGAGTGACAGGCCTCCGATCCCTGGGTGAGTGGGAGAGCGTCTGGGGGACTGTCTCAGGGGGTCAGTGGAGCTCACTGGAAGGGTCACAAGGACGGCTTGATTGACGAGGAGCAGCTTCTCAGAGAACCGGGGCAGAGGCACCAATGTCTGAGAGCCAAGGGCACACACGCCTCATGGGGTTGCTCAAGAGGCACCCGGGAGTAAACGGGAGAGCTGGCTGGCTGTTCACCTCTCTCCTGCTCCCTGCGTCCCCTCTCTGGAGCTCGATCAGGGCTGAGTGCTGAGGTATGGCGGCTGCTTACAGGTGTGCGTTGTGACGGACAGGGCTGTGCTCCTCCAAGTTCAAGGGCAGCCACCACCAGCAGGAGACTGAGTCCTCTGAGTTGTCTTGGAACCAGACTTACTTGGGGAATACTAGCCTCTTGTTTGGTTCTAACTGGTAGAAATGGGAAGACAAAGTTGAAGCAGTTACCGCTGGGGCTCCTGGTTAGGTGTTGAGCACAGTGAGGCACAGGACCCTCAGACATCATCACGGAAGCTGGCCTGAGCTTGGACTTGGCCTGAGCCAGAATGTAGATGTTTCCTTCAGAGTAGGACAGATACGAGGCCCTTCCTCAGACAGAATGATCTGGTCTTTGTTCTAGAGGTTTTCTTAATGTCCCAGAGTTGGGAGAGGCTAGAGAATGGACCAGCCCGGTAGGAGCAGCCTAAAATAGACGACTCAGGGAGGCACCGTGGAAAGGTGGAGAGCAGCCAGATGTGTGGACACCCTGAGTGTAATTTATAAGTCTGTAAATGTAAGGTGTGGGAGGAGATGTACACCAGACCCAAAGGCCCAGAGAGGTGGCAGGAGCGCAGCCCAGAGGCTCCGTGGGCCAGAGCCGTTCCAGCCACGCTCCCCAGTGAGGCTGTGTCCTGTGACGGGCAATAAAGAACACTCATTGTGTCCACACGGAAAACCAGAACCGTGTTTCCAGTTGATGTGGGCTGAGTCCTGTCACCTTTATATTGCTTTTTATGGGTATAAAATTTGCTTTACAATATTTTCACAATTTTTTTTCTTCATAGCACCATAGTATCTTTTCGGGAAATATACTTGGTATAAAGCAGCTCAAGGCTTCTCCAGACAAACCTAAGTACAACTATTGTGGTGCAGGTGAGCTTGAGGTCACAGGGCTAAGGAGGCCCTGCCGGCAGTCTGGGGGGAGATGACTTCTATTGAGATGACCTCTGTGTCCCCCTCTGTCCAGATTCACAACTGGGGAGTTAAAAGTTGGCTCTAACGTTGCTGATGTTAATGGCCCTGTGGGATCCCTTGGGAAGACAGTGAATATTTGGGCTCAGAAATCCTACCAGACAGGACACAGGCCGCCCTGGGACAACTTAGGGTGCCTAGGACCTCCCAAGCAGGGTCACCTTCTTTTTGCCTTTAGATACTTATTTTCTTATACTTTGGTCCATCTTGTAAATGGTAAGAGACACTGAAAAAGTGTTTACACAGGCTCTGTGCTTGATTTAGATACTAAATCTTAATGCGAAGAAAAAACTGCCTATGCTATCTGCCCTCAGTCATTCTTACATTTGCACTAAGCAACTTGATGAGGTGGTTTGGAGCTGGAGAGGAAGAGGAAGGAGAATGGAAGAGGATGATGGTGATCAAGAAATGTCGCACACTCACTGGAGTCGTGACAGTGAAACCCTCAAGTGCGAACTCAGGTGAAGGATGTCTTTAGACATACTGCCTTTGCAGCTCTTCAATATGCTGTACAAGTACAACTTAAAGGTTTTCACAGCGTGCTGTGATGTAGATGGCCATTGTTTATCATAGGTAGAAACTGTACGTCTGTTTCCTTCTTGACTCGAAGTCTGTGCAAGCTGGGACTCCCTGCTTCAGCCTCACACACGTCTCCAAGCCTCATAGGAGCTTCTCTGAGACCTCAGGACCTTCATGCTGTATTCTCTTCTCTGTTCTTTTTGCTTCGCAACCCCAATGTGACCATCAGAGTCACATTGCCTGGGAGATCATGAAGCCGAAGGACAAACCCAGAGCCTCTTCCAGACCTCGGTTTAACTTCAGAACATAGACGAGCCCATTTTTGCCTTGACTCTTACTCTGAAATGCCGTGGGACAGAGGACACCACACCACCACAGTTGATGAAAATCAGAGGCTCCCAGCCAGCCCCTTTTTCTCCCCACCACACCTGCACTGGAAATGTGGCCTGTAGGACATCTATGCATCCTGCCTGATTCCATGCTGGGTTCCCACAAGGTGTGAGGAAGCCCAGAAGTTTTGAAGAGTTCTAGTCTGGAGATAATGAACTGTATCCATTCCAACATAACTGAACTAGGAGAGAACTAGAAGAGAAGTAAGTGGAGACTGAAAATCAGGTCCTCTCAGAGCACCCATGACTGACACTACCTGGAACCCAAGACCTCCAGCCAGCTGTGTTCTATTTATTTGGTCATGTAGATCTCCCAGGCGGAGACCCTCCCTCCCGCACAAAACCTTCCTATGGATGGGCTGCTGCAAAGCAGCAGATGCAGACATGATTGAACTTCTCTGGACTTGGCTGCCCTTCCTTCCCACCATCTACCCCCTGCCAGTGTCACTGTGCACAGAGACGTTTTCATACTCACAAAAGAAAACCAAAACGTGTCTGTCAGAGAAAACACTTATCAAGCATCAACAACTTCTAAAGCATGGAAGGAAAGCTGGGTGCTGGTGGCTCACACCTGTCATCCTGGCTACTCAGGAGGCTGAGATCTGAGGATCATGGTTCAAAGCCAGCCCGGACAGGAATGTCTGTGAGACTTTTATCTCCAATAAACCACCAGAAAACTGGAAGTGGCACTGTGGCTCAAGTGGTAGAGTGCTCGCTTGAGCTGATGAGCTGAGGGACAGCGCCCAGGCCCAGAGTTCAAGCCCCACGACCAGACCCCCCCCAAAGAAAAAAGAAGGAAGGAAAGATGATCAGAAGCCTGGTGCTGGTGTAATCCTCTAATCCTGGCTATTCAGGAGGCTGAGATCTGAGGATCGTGAGTTAAAGCCAGCTCAGGCAAGAAAGTCCATGAGATTCTTATTTTCAGTACTCAGAAGAAGCCAGAAGTGGCTCTGTGGCTCAAGTGGTAGAGCACTAGCCTTGAGCAAAAGAAGTTCAGGAATAGCATCCAGGCCGAGAGTTCAAGCCACAGGCCCAGCAATAAATAAGTAAATTAATTAATTAATTTTTAAAAATCCAAAAAGGAAGGTGACTCTTTTTGGGAGAGAATACATTATAATACCTTTATCAGTGGTCACACAAAATCACATTGAACCTAAGTTGAATCCATCTACTACTTAGTAGGATTGGTAGAGAACAGAGGGAGGTATGGAAGGACACCACAGAGATGGACAGAAGAGCGTTGGAAAGCTTCTTAGGGAAACTCCATGCGATCACGAGCTAGCTTCTACCACAAGTGAATCGAACAGACAATTCAGCCTTAGAAGGAAGAATCTGTCAATGAAAGACAGGGCTCCGTGGACATGCGTGAAGCATGGGCTTCACTTGGATTCTGGCTTAGCAAGGAGATCAGTTGAGGCACTTACAAACATCATTGGTCATTCACACACCAAGCGCTGCTTCTATCAGTCAATCAACATTTCCCTTCAATAGTGAGAAAAGGATTGTTCTAGCTATCCAGATGGTCCAGAGAGAGAGAGTGAGCTGGGGACAGGCTGAGTGAGCTCCTGAGCGTCCTTGGTCCTCAGCTTTCAGTTGGGAAAGTGTCGTGTTAGCTGAGGAGGTTTCCATCGACACATCAAAGGGTGCATTCCAGGAGGTGGATAGCCAGATCGCAGGATGGGGTTGAGATTAGTCACACAAAAGAACAGAGCCTCATCCTGTCTAGAGACAGGATGTGTGTGTAATGTCACACACTCAGGATCCTGTGGCTTTGCTGTCTCTGCTCCAAAACAGGCAAACACACACCAGCAGTTTTGCACTGGCATCAAGTTTTCTCAATGCACATCATCCAGTCGTACTTCCCACACCCACTTACAGCTCCCATTGGCTCTATAGCCCCCTGAAACCGAATGTTTAATGGTATTTTAAAAATTATTCTTATATTCTGGTGTCATAATGGTATTACGGTTATGTTTTGCTTAAGAAAAACCAGTTTTATCTTTTGTAGGTGTATATTGAGATGTTTATATCCAGACTTGACTTTAAAATGTCAGTTGATCGTGCTCCTTGGTTAGAGTTACTAATCAACAGAGGATGGTTGTTGATGCTGGGTGTATTTATTCTGTCTGTGTTTGAAGTTTCTATTCTTCAAGAGTTTGAGAGGGAACAAACCTACTGCTCTCAGTTGGGTTATTTCCCAGGAGAGGTGAGCCTAGAAGCTGGCAGGAGGAAGAATATGGCAGATTCATCAAGGACGTGGAAGCCATCAGGGCCTGGGAGAGACTTCTGGGCGGAATGGGAAGCAATGGCTGGAACCTCAGCCCTCCCTCCACAGACGGCAGCCAGCACACCCAGCTTCTCCTCACGTGGGTTCCTCTGTCCCCTTCCAGCTGGTCTGTGGGGAACTGGAGCGCCTGCAGCCGGACGTGCGGCGGTGGCACACAGAGCCGGCCCGTGCGGTGCACACAGCGAGCGCGCTACCACGTGGAGCCCGTCCCCGCCAGCCGGTGTCCCCAGCCTGCGCCCTCCAGCCACCAGGCCTGCAACTCTCAGAGCTGCCCACCCGCGTGGAGCACGGGGCCCTGGGCGGAGGTAAGCAGGCAGGGTTGACAGGGGTGGGGTCAGGGTGTAGGTAGGCACTGGCCACGAAGGTGACTGGACTGTGTGGACGCTGGTGGGGTCTGCCTCCTCCACCCCCCACCATGGACTGTGGAAGCCGTCTCCAGTTGACCTTGTTTCCTCTGGCAGTGCTCTCGGACCTGCGGGAAGGGGTGGAGGAAGAGGACTGTGGTGTGCAAGAGCACCAACCCTGCTGCCAGAGCACAGCTGCTGCCCAGCACCGCCTGTGACCCGGAGCTCAAGCCCAAGACGCAGGAGGCCTGTCTGCCCAGGCGCTGCCACAAGCCCCGGAAGCTGCAGTGGCTCGTGTCCGCCTGGTCCCAGGTCAGGGCTGGGCTGTATCGTGTCCGCCTGGTCTCAGGTCAGGGCTGGACTGTATCGTGTCCGCCTGGTCTCAGGTCAGGGCTGGACTGTATCGTGTCCGCCTGGTCCCAGGTCAGGGCTGAGCTGTATCGTGTCTCCCTGGTCCCAGGTCAGGGCTGGGCTGTATCGTGTCTCCCTGGTCCCAGGTCAGGGCTGGGCTGTATCGTGTCTCCCTGGTCCCAGGTCAGGGCTGGGCTGTATCGTGTCTCCCTGGTCCCAGGTCAGGGCTGGGCTTCAGAGTGAGCACCCCCCCATATTTCGTCCTTCTCCACTGTCCAGGCTCAGTCTCCTCTTCTCATCTGGGTCTCCTCACGTGGTCCGAGTGTCTGGCGTTCCCTCTTGGACGCTGGCCTCCGAATCCCGACCTCCGAGCACCTCCCCACCACTGTCTGTGCTGCCCTGTCAGTCCTGTCCAGCGGAGGGGTAGAGGGTGGGCACAAGGGGTCCAGAGGACTCAACTGTCTCTAGGATGGTTGTAGTTACTTCCGTGATGCCCAGAGCAGCGCTGGGCGATGGTGCAGAGTCGGGTGCGTGTGCTGCGGGAGTTTCCACACCGGCCTCTGCATCTGCCTCCCCTGTGAGCATGCGCTGCCCATCCTCCTGACGAAGGACAAGGCTTTCCATCTGCTCCACCCAGGGCGGCAGCCTCACGTGGCCAGACAACAGCGGGAGGGTTTGGAGCCCTGAGCGCTCCCTGCCCCGCTTCAGCAAGTGAGCCCAAAGGGCACCACAGTGACCGTGGGGCCCGGCCACGTGTGCATCCCACTTGAACCTCAGAATCATCCCTTCCTTCTCTTCTGCTTGCTTCCTCAGATAGGAGAGTTCTATGTAGCCCGGGCTGGCCTTGAACTCCAGATTCTCCAGTCTTGGCTTCTTAAGTCTAGCCTTATAATTGTGTGCTGCCAGGCCTGGCCTACAAGCTTTCTTTTCTTTCTTTTGTTGGTCGTGGGGCTTGAACTCTGGTCCTGACCGCTGTCCCTCAGCTTTTCAGCTCAAGGCAAGCGCTCTACTACTTAAGCCACAGCGCCATTTCTAGTTTTCTAATGGTTTATTGGAGATAAGAGTCTCATGGACTTTCCTGCCCGGGCCGGCTTTGAACTTCGATCCTCAGATCTCTCAGCCTCCTGAGTAGCTAGGATGACAGGTGTGAGCCACCAGCACCTGGCTTAATCTTCCTTTTCTTTAAAAAAAAAAAAAAGATGTGGTGACACCTTTTCCTCAAATGGCGATGTGTGTATTACGTGTTCATCTGATATCATCAGCAATGTGTGTATTACGTGTTCATCTGATATCATCAGCAATGTGTGTATTACGTGTTCATCTGATACCATCAGCGATGTGTGTATTACCTGTTCATCTGATATCATCAGCAATGTGTGTATTACCTGTTCATCTGGTATCATCAGCAATGTGTGTATTACCTGTTCATCTAATATCATCAGTGATGTGTGTATTACATGTTCATCTGATATCATCAGGGGAGATTTTGATCACTGGTTTTGCAAAAACAAAAAAAAAAATCTAAGAATCTCTTTGTCCTTTATCTTCAGTGCTCTGTGACATGTGAAAGAGGAACCCAGAAAAGATTCCTAAAGTGTGCCGAAAAGTACATTTCTGGCAAGTACCGGGAGCTTCCCTGGAAGAAGTGCTCCCTTCTGCCGCAGCCCGGCCTGGAGCTGGAGCGCACCTGCGCCCTACGGCCCTGCAGCCAGCCCCACCCCCATGCGGCACGGGGCAGCTGGTTTGCCTCGCCCTGGTCCCAGGTAAGAGGCTGTGGATATTTGAGGACCGGGGTGGGCACTGCTTGCTGCCTGGAAGCCAAGAGCTGGTGTGTGTGTGGGGTCCCAGCAGGGGTGTGGTCCCCAAAGCCCACCAGGCCCCACGCCTGCTGTGGGCACCACACGCCCAGCACGGACGGAGCCCACGTCCGCTGAAGCCTCCGTGGAAGGAGATGACGTGTTCTTGACAAAATCTGGGCAAATTCTCCTAAAAGTAGAGGATCTAGAATAAATCTACGGCTGTCTGTAGGCTGAGCACAGCTCTTTCCTCTGGCCCTCCCCATTCCCTGGGGAACTTCAACTCTGCACACACCCCACCTACCATGGACCCAAAGTAATGATCAGTGCTATTGATTTAAACCCCAGCCCAGTTGGGAAACTGAGATGGAGTAGACTTAGTTATTTGTGTATGCATGTATGTATGTGTTCGTGTTTGTTTGGAAATTCGAGGGATTGAATTGGGGACCTTCCAGTAAGCAAGTGCTCTACCACCTGAGCTACAGACCCGTCCCAGTGCAGCAGTGCTCAGAGCTGAGGGTTCTGACCTCAGCAGTGCACGAACTCACAGGTGCGTTCACAGCTTGGCAGATTGAGAGTCAATGGAAGCCTGAGGAGTCGGGGCTGGGTTGGTAGAAGCGGGGTGCTGAGGACACGCCCCTGAAGCCGTCTTCCAGCTCCATTCTCTTTTCCCCTTTCTCACCATGAGGCGAGCACCTTCGCCTCTCCAGCGCTGTTCCACCTGTCACTGAGGTAGAAGCCAGCCACCCCTGGACAGGGGGCCTCAGGGAACCTCAGCGAACACGAACCCAAGTAAACCCTACTTCTTTTTAAAGTCATTTTCTCAGGTGTGTTGTCAGAGTGAAAGAACATGATAACACATTCTCCCAAAGGTATTTAAGACAGAAATTATTTAAATTATTGGAGCAGGAGGTATCTAACACATGCCCCTTGCAAATATTTCCTTTTGTCAATGGACAGAAAAGCGCCAACCCCACACTTCTTTTTTTTGGGGGGGGGTCTGGTGGTGGGGTCTGAACTCTGGGCCTGGGCGCTGTCCCTCAGCTCTTCAGCTCAAGGCTAGCGCTCTACCACTTGAGCCACAGTGCCACTTCCGGCTTTTTACTTTTTACTTGGTGCTGGGGAATCGAACCCAGGGCCTCAGGCATGCAAGGCAAGTGCTCTACCACTGAGCCATCTTCCCAGCCCCGACCCACACATCTTTTCTAGGAGACCTCCCTTTCTTTTCTTCTTACTACACTGTCTTCCAGCCACATGAGCTAAGAGCTTTCTGAGGAGCAAAGGCAACTTCTTCTCTCCCATGAGAAATGTAAGTCAGACACAAGGAGGAGAATCTGAGGCTTCTAAAGTGATTCTCGTCCCAGCATCTAGCTACCGAACTAGCACTCACCTGACTGTTCAAATGCAAAAACTTCAGTCACATTTAGAATGAGGAAAACAAGATGTAGCAATATTTAATTTTAATGCCAGCTTAAAAAATCTACCTGTTTTCAGTAGCTTGTGCCACTGAAATACGCAGTCTGGGTGATACATAATTTTTATCAGAGACTGTGGCTCATCAGATTCTGAGGCCACAGCTTTTTTAAACAGGGTGAAAAAGCCACAGGGTTTTATTTGGTGTGAGTGCTTCATAGCCCAAGCTAGGCCCTCCCCATGTGGGAGGTGGTCAGCAGCAATGGATGGTCAGTGTCTGCTGACCTCGGCCAGCAGACGGGTTTACTCTACAGCAGTTACAGGTTGTCATTCCTGGGGTTGGCGCTGCAGGATCTCTGTTGATGTGAGTGCACCACATGTCACCATGGAGAACTGGCTCAGATCACAGCTATCTCCTAGCTGAGCAGCAGGTGGCTCCTACGCTCTGGTCTGGGAACAGCTTAGGATGGCCACGTGCTGCAACCTGTGCCTGTCCACACGGCAGAGGTGCACCTGCCTGTCTCACCCTCCAGCTTCTTAGTAGGACGGTGGGCAGATGGACCTGGAGACCCGAGGGTATGAAGGACAAGTTCCCATGTTACAGACGACACATGTGATTTCCCACCCTGGCCCTTAAGACTGCAGTCCTGAGCCCGGTGCACACATGCACCTGCAATGCATAGGTGATTGACAGATGCAGGCCCGGTACGACCCTGGACCCTTCCCTGCCGTCACCCGCCGGTAATGAGCGCGCCTGCCCTCGGCACTGACAGATGAGGCTGCCATGCTCACCTTCTGCATGCAGGAGATCCAATAACCAGTGGGCGTTCCATCAGCTCACAGCCCCACTCAGGTTTAAGGCCATTGAAGTTTGTGCAACTCCATCTCTGAATTGTGCTGGCATTGGGTCTCTGGGAGAGTGGGAAGAATTACAATGAGTAGAAGGTCCAGATTTAGCATAAACTAAGGCCAGCAGGACAATGGTAAAGTAAAGGAACTTAATGAAGACTCCCAATCAAGGCTTAGCCGCAGAAAATAAAAGTGTGAGGCCTTGGCCTCCAAGAACAAGCCTGTGCCTATGTACGGACTGTTCTCTGATGCCCGCAACATATCAGGGGCATGCAGGGAGCCCCTGTGATCATGGTGGAATAGGACAATCAGTGCAGCTGTCACCACCTAGACTAGCAACCGCTGTGCTCCACACAGACCAACCAACAAGTCACAAGGAGGAAGCCACGATCACTGTAGCATTCGCAGAGTAGCCAAATTAGAGTCAGGGTAGAAGCCCATCAGTAGACGAAAAGATGAAGAAAATTCGGCATATATACCTGGTGGAGTACTATTCAGCCATTAATAATGAAATCGCATTGTTTGCAAGCTGAAACTAGAAATTATTGTGTTAGATAAGTGAAACTCAGAAAACAAGTATCCCACATTCTCATATGAAGTCTAGGAACTAAGAGAGGACAGAAGAGGAGAAGAGGAGATTTCTGGGGAGAGGGGAGCGGGCTGTGGTGCGGCCGGGCAGTGTGGAGGGTCCCGTCTTGGTCTGCAGCTCTGTGGTGAGGGGCTGGCTGGCAGACGGCGAGGCTCTTGCTGAGATCCTGACCTGGAGACCTGTGGTTTTCCTCCCGCAGTGCACAGCCAGCTGTGGAGGTGGTGTGAAGAGAAGGACCGTGCACTGTCTGTCAGGGGGCCGGCCAGCCTCCAGCTGCTCCCCGGAACACAGGCCTGAGGCCTCACTGGCCTGTAACACCCACTTCTGCCCCGTGGTGGAGCAGCAAGGTACGCACCCCAGCCCCTCGCCGGCCCTGGCCTCTGAGGCGGGGGCCGTCAGGATTTTGGAGCCGTTCCTTAGAAGACCTGAGGAAGCAGGTGTGCCCTAAGAGTCCAGTGTGGAGGCCTTGTGTCTGCTCTATCCTTCTCTCTCTCTCTTCCCTTCTCCTCCAGTTTTACAACCAAATGGTCACAGACAGAGGCTACTCATCTTCGGGCCACCTCAGAAAAAGCAGAGGCACTGGGGACACAAATCAAAATAAAGGACGCTGGGCCTTTGATCCACACTGTGTGGGAGAGTTAGCTAAGAGGACCAAGGTCTGAGGCGGGCCTCAGGCAAAATCTCTAGACAAGCCCTACCTGGAAAGAATAAATACGAGGAAAAGGGCCAGGAGCAGAGGCTAGTGGACAGAGCGTCTGCCTGGCCAGCAGGCGGGCACGAGTCCAGGAATCTGAACCTCGGTACTGGGAGGGGGAGGACATTATTATGTTGATCTTTTCGATAATGCTATTTTGATATTTAGGGAACACAATTTTAATGATAGCAGTATTTCCTCTATAGGATGCAAAGCCCCCCTAATTCATTAGGTAACCCCTAAACACTGTGTGTGTATGTGTGTGTGTGTGGGTGTGGGTGTGTGTGGGTGTGCGCGTGCGCGTGTGCTAAGTGCCCCCGAGGGTACAGAGGTGGCCACCTCCCTGGTGGCTTCTCCTACAGTAAATGCATCTGCAAACAGCAAGGAGCTGCTTGCTGTAGCTAATGAACTGAGCATTCAACATTTAGTGCAGGGAGAAGAGCAGAGAGAGACAGAGCGAGGGCTCTTTCCGAGGTAGAGGCGCTCCAGTGCACTTAGCATAAGAAGTGAAGTGTCTACAGAAGTAAAGTTGTCAGCAGGTGACTTCTGTGCGCACCTGTTAGACTTACAGAGACGCCCTTCCCTTCCTCGGTGGCTTGAGTGAGAGCAACCTCCCTAAGGCACGCGGATACGCGGTGGGGGTGTCTGCGGCTGGGGCTGGGTAGCTGGGCCTTCCCTGCAGCTCTCCCTGACCCTGACCGGGTTGCGCTTGCTTTCAGACACCTTCTGCAGAGACTACTTCCACTGGTGCTCCCTGGCGCCCCAGCACGGGGTGTGCAGCCATGGGTTCTACAGCAAGCAGTGCTGCAAGACCTGCGCAGAGTCCAACCTGTAAGAGCAGCGCAGGCCCCGCGGCAGCCAGGACGCCACGGTGCCGCCCAGCGGGCCGCGCAGAACCCGTCAGCATGCGTGCGGGAAGGGCCCAGAGCAGCCTCGGGAGCCAGGACCGTGTGGGGCTCTTTGACATGCGTGTGTTGGGTGTCTAAGCAAGTATATGCTCTCCTGGGTGGCAGCGTGGGGTGATGGGGGCTGACCCTCAACAGTCAGACAGAGTGGGGGCCGGTGCTAAAGAGCTGGAGAAACAGAGCTCACCATTGTGATTTCAGCTAAGTCAGATCCAAAAGGCAGAAGGGCAGAGCAGAACGTTCCCGATGTGTTGGGGGAAAACAATAAAAGGCCATGAAATACAGGAACTATCTCTCTCAACCATCCAAAAGACCCTGCAACCACAGGGAAGACCCCGCGGTCTGGGTGCAGGGCAGGTGCTGGAAGCCCCCAGACCCTGCCCGGCTCCCCTTCAGTAGCCACAGGAGCCCAGGTCTTGCCTGGGGCGAGCCTGCAGGGGCTCTGCCATCTGATTTGGACTCTGAGTAGGGTAACGATGAAAAGGAAACCCCTGCCAAGGTGCTCTGTACTTACCTCTCATCTTGCTCAGTTATTTCCAGTGAGTGCTCCTACTTAAACCCACACCTCAAGCTTTCCTGTGCTCACGTGGATCAGAAGCACCAGTCACACCCAAACCTAGCCATCCTCAGAAGAACGGGGTCCAACCAGAACAGACGTCCGCTGTGAGCCCGGAGGGGCAGGAGCCTTAAGCCCAGGCTTTGTTTTTGTACATTGTGGGGTTTTAAATGTATTAGATAAGCCGCGCGACTGTGACTCACGCCTGTCATCCTAGCTACTCAGGAGGCTGAGATCTGAGGATCGCGGTTCAACGCCAGCCCGGGCAGGAAAGTCCGTGAGACTCTTTATCTCCAACAAACCACCAGAAAACCTGAAGTGGCGCTGTAGCTCAAACAGTAGAGTGCTCACCTTGAGTTGAAGAGTGCAGGGACAGCGCCCAAGCCCAGAGTTCAAGCCCCGCGACCAACAAAAATAAATAAATAAATAAAAATGTTTTCGATAAATGAGATGGTTTCTATAACACAGTTGAGAACAAAGGTCAAGTACCTTTACACTGGTGGCTGCGGAGCAGATTCCACCCCTAACCAGTGCCTCGGCCTCCTCCTCCTCCTCCTCCTCCTCCTCCTCCTCCCCCTCCTCCTCCTCCCCCTCCTCCTCCTCTTCTTCCATCATCAATCACCATTGGTGCTTATTTCTGGTCCACACCACCTAAGGTGTGGCTCTGTTCTTAAAAGGCACGTGGATATTTATATTTGCTGAAGTTTGTAATAAATCTTACATTGTACTGCGTGCTCCTGAGCTGTGTGCGAGTCCTGCCTTCAGTGGGAGGAAGGCCAGCCACACACCCTGGGGAAAGAGTCCCAGAGACAGGAAGAAGGGCGACTCTGGAATATGGGAGAAAGCTCTGGAGCTGAGAGGGCTCCAGCCGGGGCAGCGGGCACCGCAGGGTCCGTGGCTGGGGCTGGTGATGGTGCCCGTGCTCAGAAGAGGCTCTCAGGACCATTAACTGCCTGCTTGTAGGAGTCAGAGCTTCCCCCCACCCCGCGCCCCCAAAGCAGAGCTGCAGACATGGAGAGAGCAGGCTGGGCTTTTGTGCTAAGGAGCCTGGCAGTTCTGAGGTCTGGATCGGCTGGCTGGCAGGAAATGGGGGCACACACGTGCATGCCGGCTGATGCTTGTGCTGGCTCCTGCATGCTCCTGGGCTTTGGGGCTGTGGAGGTTGGAGGTGGGGTGTGGCCCGCTGGCTGCCAGCCTTTGTTGGTCCTGTTTCACAGGCCTGGCCTCCCAGGAATCCTGCCCTGTGCGGCTCTGTGAAACCCAGGGGGCCAGGCGAGCAGCCCCCACCCCCTGCCGTGCACCTCACCACAAGTGTCTGGACTCAGCTGAGCCCCTGGGAATTCCAGGCTGCCCTAGGGAGTCAGACAAAACAAAGCTGCTGCGGTGAGAAGAAGGAGGAACCCACACCAGCCAGACAAACGCTCCCTGCAGCCGCTGCCCTCCCCCTGTCTGCTTCCAGCCAGGAGAAGCCGCCCCCACAGGAGGCTTCAAAGTCGGGGGGCACGGGGCGCGGGGGGGGGAGGGGGGGTCGACTCTCCCAAGCCCAGAACGCTATGCCTTCCCCATGACAGGCTGGCATCCCTTGTCCCAGTGCCAGGGTTTTTCTCGCCAGGCTCAATCTTCCCCACAGGCCGGAGCCCCCTGGGACAGGGACAGGGAGGCCGGCTGGCTGCTGGGGCTCCCCCCCCCCCCCGCCCCGCCTTCAAGCCCGCACCTCTTCTCAGTTTCTTGTTCCCCTCCTCCAGCAGGCATGCTCACTGGCCTCCATCACGGTCCTTTCTGTTTTCTCGGGGTATCTCAGCCCCCCAGGTCATGGCCTCACTCCAGTGGGGTACCCGTGGCCCGCGGCCCGTGGCGGTGACCAGGCTTCCTGAGCTTTGCTTTACCTCCTCCCCAAGAAAGAACTACACGTCCACAGGCAGAAGTGTTAGGGAGCATCTCCTCTTCCTCCTTCAATGTTCCTCTTCTGCAAATGGAATGAAAGAAGAGGCCGATCCCTTACCCTCCGCGAAGCTGGTCACCGGCAGAGTCTGCGGGTGCCATAGGCAGAGGCCACGGAACCATGGTGTGGGAGACGTGACAAGGAGCCCGTCCAGGAGGGCTGTCCCTTCTGCCCCAGAGGGAGCGGGCAGAATGTTCCCACACACCCCACAAGGGCTACGTGGGGCACAGAACGCCAGATGTGCTGTCCAGCCCAGCCCCGTGGCCTCGGGGTGCAGAACTTCTCGGAGGGTGGGAGGGTGAAAGCTACTTGGTCCTGTCTCCACACTGTCTGGAGAGAGCACTGAGCACAGCACATACCGCCACTGTTGGCTCTGGGTCTTCACGTCCCATTGCTGTGAAGGACCACCCCTTCATCTCTCGCCTCTGTCCTGGTGCTGAAGGAAGAGCTAAAGCCATTCACAGCCTCCTGGTTGCCACACCACGAGCCCCTGTTTATCACTTCTCACATGGCCTGTGCTGAGCAGACGCCGCCCTGGACACTGTCCTTTGCATGAAGCTCTTCTTCCTTGGCTTGGCTTCCACCTGAAAGACCTGCCAGATGGCTCAGTCCTCTGTCGTGGCAGGCGCTGACTTCCTGCTGGGCTGCAGGCCCTGCCTACCTACCCACGCGATGTAACAGACTTCACCAGAAACTTCACCCCAGAGAGGGGTGAATCCCCACCACCAGATTTATTTCCAGCTCCTCTGGGAAATTCACCTCATCCTTTAAACCATCTCCTTCTCAAACACGGCCAGCATCTAACATACATCAGTCACTTCTTGTGGTGGTTAATCATATGTGTCAACTTGACTGGGCTACTGATGCCCAGATAGCTGGTAAAATACCACTTGTGGGTATGTGTGTTAGACTGTATCTGGAAGAGGCTGGCAAAGGAAATCAGGAAACTTAGTAAAGACCTGTCCTTACCTGATGGGTGGGCTTCCCCCAAGCTATTGAAGACCTGCATGGGGGAAGAAGGCAGAGGAAAAGCCAAATTATGTCTCTCCTCTTCAGCTGGAACACGCTGCTTTCCGCTCAGATGCCAGAGCGCCTCGGGGTCTCAGGCCTTCAGAGACCTTCACTAATAGCATCCGAGCTCTGCATCCTCAGCCTTCAACTAAATTACCCCAAAAGCTTTCCTGCTTCTCCAGCTCGCAGGATTGCACAGGGCTTCCCAGGCTAGCAACCGCTTCATTCCATTCCCACAGGAAATGCCACGTTGATTGTCTACCTTCTATCTATTGGTCTAATTTATTAGCTATCTATTATCTTCTATCATTTTCTATCCATCTATCATCTGCCATTTTCCATCACTTACCTAGGTATCCATCCTGTTCTTATCATCTATGTTTCTGTATAACTGCCACTGATCTATCTATATCTCTATCATCTATCTATAACCTATCTCTATTTTACTTATCAATATCATCTAGTCTATCTATCTATCTATCTATCTATCTATCTATCTATCTATCTATCTATCTATCTATCTATCTATCTATCTATCTATCTGCCTATTCATCCATCCATCCATCTATCCCATGGCTCTCTTCCTCCAGAGGTTTGTGACTTGTGCACGTGTCTTCGGTCATCCTGGGAGTGCTGCTTTTTCTCTGTGGCTCAGTGATCCACCCTGCCCTCATATCATGGCAGCTACTTAAAGGAGCCTGTGGTTTAGTAGGGAAAATCTGTGCTAACCCAGCCACTATGGAGTGTCTCTCAGATAAGCAGTCACAGGACAGAGCAGAGGTCATATGAGAATTCCCATTGCTCTTAGAGCCAAGTTTACTTTTACATGATCACATAGAAATAGAGAATGGGTGCAGGGAGCCGGGACAAACGCCATTACAAGATGGCGCCCACTTCCTTTCAGCTTAGAGGTAAACGACTCCATATTAGGCAAGTGCTTGGCGGGGCTGCAGGTCCCTAGCTTTGCGCATGCGCCATCATTGTAAATCCTGAGCCAATCCCGTGGCACCTGGTGACGGTAGAAGGCGGACAGCCAATCCTGAAGCGACCCGTGTTCCAAACCCTATATAAGCGGCTGTATTTCCTTGCTCGCTCTCTTGCGCTCAAGCTTTCCCTTCAACTAAAAGGCTCTCCAGTAAAGTGTGATCTGAGAAGACTCCTGGTGTGGTGGTCGTTCTTCCTCGCTGGCCGAGAAGGCGTTCGCCGCAAGTGGTGCCGAAACCCGGGACCTGCGCAAGAGGTCGAACAGGAGCCAGAACTCAACACACGGAGAGGAGACGTCGGTAAGTATCCCTAGGTATGCTGTTTTTTACTATGGACTATTGGTTGTTTGCATTGCTGCTTCCTTTGTGGTTTGTCTTTCTGGTGGTTCTCTGTGCCTGTCTGTGTTGTGGGGATGACCACAAAGAGGGGGTCTCAAGGAGACCCCTGTACCCTTCTTTGAAGGAATTTTCAAACCGGTTCTCAGCCCTACATGTGGAAGGGCAGGACCAAAAACGCAGTGATCCTGTGAGTGACTCAGAGGAAGAAATGTTAGAGGAGGAGGGAGAGCAGCTCGATCCAGCTGATAATGAAGACTTAGAAGAGGCTGCGGCTGAGTATGAGGCAGACAGATATGGGGGGCAGCGTCCCCAAACGATAAGAGTACCGCAGCAGCCAGAAAGGAGGAAAGGAGCTGGCCCTCACCCGTCGGCCCCCCCCCTCCCCCGCCGTACCCGCCGGCGGGGCGGAGTCACTTTATAAAAGGGAGCACCTGGTCGCGGCTGGCGGCCGCCTTTCCAGTTTTTGAAAATCCAATTACTAATGAAAGAAATTTTGAGCCGGTTTCCTACTCCCAGCTTAAGGATTTAGTTGAGGCAGTCCGGACTTATGGAGTGACGGCTAATTATACCATAGCCTTACTCCGAAGGCTGACTGTTAATGCTATGACGCCTACGGACTGGTTCGAGGTGGCCCGCACCTGCCTTAACCACGGGCAATTTCTTGATTTTCGATCTATTGTTCATGACAAGGCTCAAGCTCAATACAGACAACAAGCATTCAATATGATAATTTTACCCGAGCTGCAAATTTGTCTAAACAATTGTCAAGTTATCTTTTAGGTAATTGGACTGGCGAGTTTGATGAGATGCTGGAGCAGCTGCGGATTGCCATTGTGATTGTTAATTCAACGCGAATGGATCCCGGATTTGTGGAGGGGCTCCAGTCCTGGATTTCCTCCGCTGTTTCCTGGTTTAAGGAGTGGGTGGGAGTTGGAATGTTTTTAGCCTGCTGCTTGGGCGGATGCGTGGTCTGCCTATG